CTTTTGATGGCTGCTAAGTCCCATTACATGAGCTTTGGCGGACAACAACTTCTCGTTTTATAAGGTGGTAATTCAATCTGTTTAAATAAAATATGCAAAAATGGGAAAAGCGTTGTCTCTCCGCCTTTCATACGGCGACATAATGTTAAATGTCAACGGAAACTCTTAAGATTTTTTGCACCTAAACTCATTATAGAAAGTTTACTAGTTACAAACTTGTAGATTAATTTAAAAATTTATGTAAATGTAATTGATGCAGCACATTACATGCTGTAACCGAAATAAGAATAAAATCTAATTAAAAGTTATCTTTAATTGTAAAACTTTTTGAGGGTGTTAAGACCATTTTCATAAAACAGTTGTAAAGCAGTTGGTTGCCTGTAACTGTGTTAAAAAGTTAGGTATTTATGATGTATATTCCGGAAACTTTTATAAAACAATAGGAGTATGATACATTATGCGGGTTTTACGCCGCTCAACATTAAACCTGAATTTACTAATAAAAACGGATTAGATCATCAACTTGATATTAAAAGCAGTTACAGATAAGTACGTATTTACAATACTGGTTGAAAGCATGTGCACGAATAAAAGGCGGGTAGTTTGCAAGGGGTTGATAATTGTGATTTATTGTTCTGTGCCAGTAGGCGGTTACGGCCTGCAGACCGTGATTACTCTGTATTAATTTGTGATGTGACTCTAGTAATCCACTCGTACTTTCGAGGGTGAGCTTTCTAATTTTTCAATAAAACAAAGTTATCCTAATAACACGTGATCAACTACTAAATTGACCAAGCGCTATGTTTTATGTTTGCATTTGGCCCCGTCATTTATGAATCGATCGAACTATTATCTCTGGACAATTACGGTGATTTCACACAGATATCCTTCTGGCGTCCGCATTGAATATCCCCTGCCATCTAAAAATCTTTTAGGTCGATTAAATTTGTTTTTTCTCGAATAGAAATTCTTTTGTAATTCAGGTAACTGCTAGCAACTCACAACAAAACAACAGTATACGATTAGAAATAGCGAAATTAATTCCCGTATTTAACTATTTATTGATTTCAACGGAGCGATCTCCACGGCCAGCATATTAAGGACTATAAATTGACAAACAAACTCTCAAACCCGCTAAATTTTTATTAACCAAAACCAAAATTACTATAGGAGAGCACGTACTGGTGGGACAATACTCGCCAGCTGCTTCGAGTCCATTATTAGATATATAGAAATGCAAATCAAGCTCAATCCTCAGATCATTTATAGTTTTGTATTGTTGTCCGTCCGTCCGTGTGCGCTACAACTTTTTTTAAATGTGGCCGATTGTGTTGAAATTTGGTGTACGGGTACTTTGGACATTAAGGACGGACGCTATTGATTTTCAGGAAGCTGGCTCAACAGAAACAAAAGTTATACAACTTTGAGTGAATCGGGAACAGGAAAAACTGCGCGCTCACTATAAAGAAATCAACATATTTCATTCCCTAGGTCATGTATCGAGTTCGGACTTTCGCTAGATTATTGCCTATAACTCTAAAATGTGTAACCATTCAATATAACTCTTCTCTGTGGTATAGGTTTTAGACCAAAATGTACCCAAAATTATTTTTTACACATAAATTTGGAGTTTTAAAAGTTTTCAAACGCATTATGTTGATGCTGAAAGAGTACACCACGTGTACTTACATTTGATAATCGCATGACTGTGTGATTCAAAGATATTAAATTATTTTCTTGAGGTCACATGGATTTTGATTAAAATATATCAAAATCGTTATTTATGCACCAAGATCTTTGGGAAAAAAACCATGAGCATTATCTCAATGACCAAAACATTAATTTGATCTATTTTTGGCAACCACATGAATTTTGATCACAATAGGTCAAAAGCGTTATTTATGCCCCAAGATCGCTGGGAAAAGACCAAGAACATTACCTCAATGATCAAAACATGAATTTAATCTATTTTTGAATCATGTATGATGGGAGTATCGGCTGCTTACGGGTTTCCGTTATTTTATTTGTATTAATGTTTTATAGAAATACTAAGATACCTTCTGACGGTTACGATAAGCCAAAGCGTCTTCGAACAATGAAAAAAAAAACAATTATACTAAATATTTCAAGACCATCCCACATGCTTGGTGGATAGCGTCAATTTATAGCTTCAAAAAGGAGGAACGGACTCATTCCGACACTGGAGAGAATTGTGGATGATACCTCACTAATTACATTTCCCGTGGGAAACTCCGGAGACCATCAACAGAAAATCAATTTTCATGGACCCCTCTACGACTTGCTGACCTCCTACATCTGCTGGTCGTCATCTAGCGCCAATGCACCTCGCAAATGTGGGTATCCACGCGCTTGCGCAAATTTGTTGTCTTATCCTGTTCCTCCGGGGCATTGCTTCTATGTGTCAATAATAAATTAGGTTGGACACGTCGTCATAGATATGATCAAAAAATTTACGAGAATAAATTGACCACAGTACAGAAAATGGCAATTTTTGTCCCCGCCGCCGAAGATTTGTCAAAATAAACATGAGACAACCTTAGCAAAGCATGAATGATAAATAACAACAATTCTTAACACGGTAAATGCACTAAAAGGATTGAATCTTGCACTTGCATTGCCTATTACGTATGTAAAAGCATCTTTGACCGACACTACGACAATCCAGCCATATACTAAGCTTCCGGGGACAAACATACATAAATCCTACCGACACTAACATTCCAGAATCGATCCTCACAGAACAGTTTTAAAAAAACCACCAAAAAAATTTAAAAAACCTCCCACAAACCAAGCGAAAGAAGTAAGTACCGAAGAAATGCTAAGACCTATTATGCAACACCTAATAGATAAGGCAAAACAACACAACATGACGTATGACCAATTTAAAAACTTCATGGATGAAATGGGCCCTCCAGAAACTCTATGGAAACAGCAAAAAACATTTTAACGATGTAGCAGAATTATTCGAAACACGCAAAGATTTCTACAACCTCCTCGAACACCAAAAAGTAAAGTACAGATTTAGTAAGATTATCACCAATTGAATGAATGGCATACCGCAAGGATACTTTTCAATGTGGCAATAAACACCATCGTCCAAGAAATCCCGCCACCAATGAAAGCCTGCCTATATGCAGACGAGGTAACCAAAGGAACCTACAGATGACCCAAAAATATAGCCAAAAACTATTACAACGGACCTTATTTTCTCTCGAGGCATGGACAAAACAACAAAGCTTCCGTAAAAAAATAATAAAAAGTTCACTTAAAAAGTCAAAATTTTATTTCAGCCCCCTTTATATGCAACAAGCAGTCTGTAGCATCAGGTTTTAAAAAATACATAATTTTCATAGCCATGTTGATGCAGAGTGTTCTAGTTACCCGTGGATGTTTTGCTGAGAAATGAATGTAAAACGTTTGATTTATTTATTTTATTTATTTACCAACCCAACCTACTATACATTTACAAATATCCATGCCCGATCCTGGATTTGAACCAGGTACCCTTGGTACCGCAGTCCAGCTTCAACTGAACTGAAATTTATGTAAAAGTAGTGTCTTCTATCTCATTTCGTAAAAATCCAACATGGCGCCCATAAAAAATAAGAAAGTAGCATAGCCTCTTTAGCTTCTACATCTAGCGTGTTATGGAAATGCTCTTATCATGACTTCTTATGCACAGACACATAAAGTCCAAAAACCACTGGACGATCGAATTCCTGACTAGCCTTCTACCCCTCACTATGTACTTCTAGTAAATAACGTTCGTGGAGCTAAATTTAAGAAAGCGTTGTCTAATGTAACCCTCCCACTCCTTCAATTTTAATCATGTTTAAACTAGCGAAAAATTAAATTACCTTAACAGTCATCGTCATGTATAAATGGCCACTATTTTGTGTAGCATGTTGCACTATTATCTTATTTAAACAATGTAATCCGAAACATAAAAGTATTCCTCAGGAAACATTGTACGTAAAAGAGGAATTTTTAATTCTGATTGTCAATATAATCTATTCTGACTGGCACTGAGGTTAGTCGATCACTCACCGAAGTATATTACAAATGAAATGATTTTTTCGATTAAATGTAGTTATATTATAGATAGGATAATAGAAAGGGTTACATAATAGGATTGTTCAAAATTAGAGTCCAGAAATGTTGGGTGAATTATATTAAACTCTGCTTTAAACCTAACTTGCCGAGGTAGTATTTATATTAAACCTATTTAAGTTTTTTATTTAATCAAAAAAGGAAGTTAGATTTTCTACTATTTATAAGCAATTGGTGGTTTGCATGCACGCACATAACGATAAGTAATATCGGAACCATTCAATTCTGAATTCGGTATAGCTTCAGGTAGGAAAATTAAATTAATGGTGTCTAGAAGCAGCGTACGTTACAGTGTTGAGCATTTACTGTTGGGTTAAAGTTAAAGAAAGAAGACAGCTTGTTACCTATCTGACAAATGACCGAATTTGGTTCAAGTTGTATATACCTACCGTAATATGATATTACCGCAATTTATAAAACCGTTCAATACCAAAGCAGGTACGGTAACGCATTCTCACCAACACGGTTGCACGTTATCTAGACATAAACGAAGAAAATAAATGAATTTTTTTTAAATCTTTAACAAAAAGTAAGGAAGTTAATGTAGCGTTCGTGGATGTTTCGTTGTAAAATGTTGTATGTCATGCAAATTGCAAACCATTTCATTTTTACTACTTCAAACGGAATAAAATTTATTGCACCGTACAATTCGTTTAAGGAGATTTTTTTACTGTCGCTGATATACAATATTTCTTTACGTAGCCGTAATAAACGTCAAACTATTATTTAAGTGTCACGTAAGTAATAAAATTGGAACAAGAAATTTATATCATAACACATTAATTTAGAAGCTATATAAAAATTGGTATAACTTCAATGAAAACCTTTTAGAAGTTGTTGATTTTATTGCACAATGACGCCCATTAACATAAAATTTTACTGATAGTCGGTTTAGTATATCATAATTTTTGGTTGTATACATTGGAGTGATTTACGAGTGATTGCAAAGATTCTTATCTAAAGGATTGCTATAGGTGCATATTTATTGAAATTTAAATTTGGAGCTTGGACACTTGCCAAACGCTTGCAGGTAATTGTAATGTAATTAATGTAATTAATTTCCAGTGATTAGTACTCATACAAATTGCAAATAATTTTATTTCTGCTGCATGATTTCCAATTTAAATTTCAAACGAAGTCAGTACTACCTGCTTGTTTCTGCTTTAACTAGTCTGAGGGAAAGTAAAGTGTTTGTTCCAATAATTCATTTGTATACATAAGTAACGACCAAATTGAGATTTTTGTTTACATTTTCTTAGAGTACGCAGTTGTCTCTTTTAATCTTATACGTTTATGGATGATAACTTAACTTTATTCCTAACAATTGCAATAAAACGCTTTCAATATTCACTATTCGATAGGTATAGTTCTTAATAGAGATTACAGACACTCTGCAGACAGCGTGTATCTCCTAATTTTCAGACAGAATCTGGAGAACAAGGGGTATGATATTTATTTCTGTGAAAATATTTGTTGTGATTCGGTTACTTCATACAGAAATAAATATTTTTCCAAAATCAAATATATGGGAACGTATGTACAATGTATCTACATAAGCAGCACCCTCAGCAGGCACAACGCATTCAGAATCACACACGGAATCTTCTTACGAGAAAAGAAAATACCGGACAGTTTGAAAATGATGATTTACAACACGATCATAGCACCGAAAATCTTATACGGAATTAACACTTCAGCGCCAACAAGGAGCAACAGACGAACATTGAGGAGGGCGGAGTGGAAGGCACTTCGATCATTTCATACCGAAACCAATTTATTTCCACCCTCCGCTTCCCGAACAAACAAAAAATTTAGGCAAAATTCAACACATTTTGATCTCGGTACCTTCAATAAGGTTGGTTTCTTTTACTTGAATTTGTATTTCCGTATTTGTTTTTCCTTTTAGAAATTTTGTTAGATGCGTAATTTTTCGATTTAATTTTATCGTTTTTTTTTAAATTTTTTCAATTTAGGTAAGGTCCTTAAATACTGGAGATAACGACAAGAGGGGTCTTTTTTTCGCGACGAAGCCGAAAAAACATGTAGTATATAGGGAGTTACCTAGGTAACGTGGGTAATTAAAATGTTGTCTGATATTTTAAGTAGTATAGTCTTTAAGAATTACAATATCAGTACTGTACTGACAAATGAAGGTAACTTTCATAATCCCAACAGGGAGACAAACGAATAAAAATGCAACTAAATGTAAACATATATGCGGGAGTGCATAAATTACGTTAGTTAGTTCCAAGTGCAATTCCTGAGTGGAAAAAATGATAAAATCAACACTGTCCAACGGTCTATGCTTACAAGTATTAAAAAATACATGCGCCATAAGTCCCAGAACAGTTGCGCACCACTAGAGAAACAAGCAAAGAACTTATTGGTCATAATGACAATTTTTCTTCACTTCTGGTTTGTCCTTCACAATTTTTATTTTTGAATATACCCAAAAAAAATATGTTTAAAATACCTACTAACCAGAATTATGTAAAATATACAGGTTGTTCTATTTAAAGGAATCGGAGGTGAAAAAAATTGTCAATATGACCAATGAATTCTTTGCGTTTTACTCCAACTTTACCCTAATTTTGAAAAAAAAAGGTTAATGGACAACCGAGGTATTTAACCGTTCCGGGACCTATGGCGCACTTATATGTGTATTTGTAGTTAAAATTTCCTATTCGATCATGCACTTGCCTTGATTAAAAGTAGTCAAGAAATTTAATATAGATGTTACTTTTTGAATATAACGGCGCATTTCACTGACAATTAGAGTGAAATATTTTTATAACGTACGGTTTCCGCTTTGTTATTTGAGTGGACTTATATGAGTTTGAGTTTAAAGAGTACTGTGCACAAAAGTTAATAAATTGAGAGTTTTAGGTTGTAACGGTTGGTTGTGATTTTGAAGTGTAGGGATTTTGGTCACGTATTAGTATTGCTCGTAGTGTGATTATTGGTTTGCTTTGTCTTCGAGAGCCTTCGGAATTTACACGATTCGAGACCGGTCTGTAGAAGGAAATGTCGGCTTTGTAATTTTATTGACACTTGGAAAGTTGTTGCTTGATGGAAATTGGTTAAAAATTGGGATATCCGTTTGGTTTGACTTGCAGAAATCAGTTTGTCTGGATGCCGATTGCCACGAGATTGACCTTTTCTACATCTATATGGTGCATTTTGGGGTTACGCGGTAATTTATATAGTTATCGGAGTTAGTTGCAACAACTCGTGTTTAGCTAATTTATTTTAAGTCATCCGCTTCTTACTAAAGGTAAGGATTATTCCGAATTTGTGTCTGATTGTTTCAATGTTCCATGTGAGGTTTATTTGTAGCGGTTCTTGTTCCTGAAGTAATCTTGGGAAGGGGTTTTTGTTATATGGTACCGTACCGAATGAGGATTTAAACGTTGGGATATGGATTTATGTATGATGTAACTTGCTTGCTAAGTGTTAATCGCAGAGGACCTTGCGGGTTGTAGTTCATGTCAAATTGGGAGCTGAACTCCGTTGCTAATAATTATTTGAAAGCATCTCGTACTGAAGATCACGCTTTTGAGAGATTACGCTTTTGGAGAATTTGTATGCACCTTTTTGTACAATTCGTAGCGTAAATTGTTGTCAACTTAATAATGTGCCAATTTGGATAATTACTATGGAGTCACCGACAAATCAAGTACCTAGATATCTTGTGTGTGTCTTAAGTTTATTTACATTGTTTTGGGTGAGTTCCAGTGGATGCTTGCTGGAAATTTTACTGTTATAACTGTTCTAAGGTTTTCAATACGGACCTTGATTTTCAATAGACTTTTATTTGATTTTTTTTGTTTAGTAGTTTAGTGACAGGTCTACTATTTTTACGACGTGAGAACTCTCAAAAAGTCATTACGAAAATAGACACTTCCGTTAAAAACACTTTTCATAAAATTGTGTGCAGGTCGTACCTCACAGGCTGTAATTAAAAATTTAGCGGATAAATTTGAGTCAACAGCAGGATCGGTACGCAACATAACATCAAGTGAATGTGTTCTCTACCGGTCGTTGAATTGAAAATATTGCTAGTTAAAGTTTTACTTAAGCTGAATTCTACGGCGTTTATAGCAATCGGGGTAATCCACAACCATTATTTTATGCAAAAATTTGGCTATAAAGCCTTATACAGTGCAGGTCATTCAAAAACCGAATTCACTTTTACTATACCTTTACATTTACAGTATCGACATTTTTTCATCATTGAACAAGATGCTGTTAGATTAAAAAAATTGCTGCATCTGGGCTTCAGGAAATCCTAGAAAGCCTCTTAAACAACCTTTAGGTACATTCAGAGTGTGTCACTGTGTGGTGGTTGGACTCCAGCCCCCTTCCTTCAGAGGTTTGGAATTTCGGATGGAATTATTGAAATAACTTCCGATGGGACACTGCATTGAAACGACAAGTTTAACTAATACAATTGGATTAGTGTAATTTGCTCGTTTGTTATTATTGTATGACCAAAAACAATACACGGTCTCTGCCAAAAATCCAGACAGGTATAATGAACCGGTATTATTGATTATTTATTAATAACAACCGTTTGGAACTACCATGTACGAACTTTATTTATTAGTTATGAACCCACTTGATTTTCCTTATTTCAAGCCCGTTAACGATTTACTAATTAGATTTAAGGTTTCACTATTGTTTCTCCACACGTTTTTTCAGTTGATAAAATATTGGTGTCACTATCCAAAAGCAAAAAAAAATGCTCTCGTTACAACCTAGGACAGCCAAAACCGTAAAAAAATCGTTTCAACAACCTAATCAAATAAAAAACAAGTTAAAAAGTAATCGTAAACGATTTACATAAAGCGCATTTCCACTTGCATTCATTTCCCATTTGTAAGATGCAACTTCTGTTAAAATCGTAAAAATCCGGCCACAAATATGAAAGATAGCGTTGCACATGGGCAATCCATTTTTGACGTGCTACTTCAATTTCAGTTTATGAGAAGAATTTCATTTCAATGCTTTTCTAAATAAGAAAGTTGGAACTGCGCATGCGCAAACCTAAATTTTAAAACTAATGTTAGATTTTCCTTTGTTCCAAGCGCCTAAGTATCAAATTTCACTTAAATGGTTCCATAGATAAAAAAGTTGGCACTGCGCATGTGCAAAATAAAATTTTGAAACTGGCGCTAGATTTTCCTTTATTCCAAGTGCCTATGTATCACATTTCATTTAAATTCTTCCATAAATAAAAAAGTTGGCACTGCGCATGCGCAAAACCAAATTTTGAAATTGGCGTTTGATTTTCCTTTATTCCAAGTGCCTATGTATCAAATTTCATTGAAATACTTTTATAAGTAAAAAAGTTTGCAATTCGGTTTATAAATGGTCGAGATGCGAAAAGGGCACTGTGAATTTTGAATCGATTCAATTCAACTTTTGGCATTGCGTATTATATGGCTAAAGCTATGCCCATATTGAATTTCATGCAATTCAGTTCATAACTAACGGAGATGTAAAAGCGATCGAACATTTCTAAACAAAGTTATCGTTCACACGGACAGATAGATGGACAGACAGACAAAGGAACAGACGGACAGACCAACCGGCAGGCGACAGATAGCAATGCAAAATTATAAACGATCTCTAGGATCGTTAATAAACGGCAAAAGTGTAAAATTATGGAACATGTAAAAAACGGTTTTTTTATTATACCTGAATCACAATCTCCGTTTTAAACACTCAAATGCGTGCGAAAAAAGGTCTTTAAAACACACGTGCTTTAAAGTTGCTAAGTAACGATACTTCAAGTATGACTTTTGAAACTGTCATCTGGATGAAATAAAAAAATCTTCCTAAGTCGCTTTCTGTAAATGCAGAACATTTCTTTGGCTTGTACCTATCCTTTGGTTGAAGCTTTTACAAACGCGCGTAATTTAGAGTATGCTTCCAAATCTGTTCCACTTTTTAGTCCCAGCAATAAGTGAAGTTTTGAATGAATGCACCAAAAGATAGAAGATTTAAATACCTTTAACATTTCCTTCATTTATGCCAGCATTATTGATGCATTTAAGACTTTATTCGTAAGTAACTTCCTATTCATCCAAGGAAACAACTTTTCATGTGCTTGATAATAGGCTTTACTGGATTGAGATTTTACACCTACCAACGTTTGTTTAGATTTTACAACAAGCGATTTAATGGACGGTGTATTATCTTTTTCAACGGAAATCGTTTTATTCACAAAGACGACAATTTTTATAAGCAAACGTCAAGTGACATTTCCATGGCAATCGTGAAATTACGAACACCCAGCCCACTTAATTAGACGTGTATTCGAGTATAACGTCAATATGATTTCATTGAATTTCCTATTTTTAAATTATACTGCAGGTATAATAAAAAATACTATAAGATACACGTGTATAATTGGTCTTTAAAGCACTTGCAACGTTAAAGGCACTCCGCTTTGCGTCGTGCCCTTAAACTCGTTGCGCGTGCTTTAAAGACTTGATTATACACTTGTATCTTAATATACTATTTGTTTTTTTTACAATAACTTTTTTTGTAAGCGGTACAGAAAAAATTCCTTCCTTGGTACAAGACTCGACACCATAACGAACCAAATAGCGAAAAAAGTAGAACAATAGCTCTTAAGATAAAGAACTAGTAGCGTCGCAAAACGAGCGGACGGACGGACGGACAAAGTGGCCACAATAGCGCATTTTTTTTTTTTTTTTGTGGAAATGCGCTAAAAATGGGCGTATGGTAGACTTTGGCAGATCACTAGTGACAACGATAACTAATAATTGATCAAATTGATATACAATGTAACCAAAGGGACATCGAACAAATAAAATAAACTACCATTTCAACGTTTTAGCGTTGAGTTTATAGGTGTGTATAGAAAAGCATATAATCATAAACCACACAGACAAGTGAGCTTGCTGTAGAGTGTAGATGGCGTCAATTATACATAAAATAATATAAGATACATAGTGTAGATATTTATGTACCATTTATAATCAAAATATTGCACATCTATTACCCCCCTCAAAGTTCGATAATGGTAATTTATACTGGTCTACGTATTACGACGCACTATGCTTAACCTGATTTTTTCAGCACAAGAATCTTACGCTCCTTTCAATGCACGTTTGTTTTAATATAAATTTGTTGATATCCCATAAATAATATAAAAGTAGATAACAACATAAACCATTTCTCTAACTACGAGATAAAAGTGTTATTAAAGCTTATACTATAAATTACTTGAGCAATAAAATTTTTTCCCAAAAAATGAGGTGTGAAAAGTTCAATCCACATGGATTTTTATAGCGGCAGAACGTTGTAACGGGTAACATGTTATAATAAAAGAAGGTGTGGTGCGGTTACCAGACCGCCGTTTGATTTAACGGGCCCATAAAATAAACGGGAGCTTGTAGTCGCCGCAGGACCGCATGCAATAGCCACATTTTATATATTTAGACGGAACGTACAAAAATAGAGCGGTAAATTGTAAAATTTCATATAAATCATTGGGACTTAATCTAAGTTGCTACCTAATAAAACATTTATAATTGCTTTTTAAATAAACGCCGCGCTGCCTATGGTGAAATTACAACATCGATATTTTACGATACCAATATTTCGCAGAAAGCAAATTCAATATGCAATTTAACCACCTGAGAGCATTGTCACGCAACAGTTGGAATTGGAAAACTTTGCTATTATTGAATTTCAAAACTTCCCAACGTAACACAGCAAAGTAAAGGGTAGACAACTGGACAAATAACTTCCAGGATTATATCACAAGCTGTTTAGTTTAACGTCATACCGTAAAACAAATGTAAAGGGGTCGCGCTTTTAAAAACGCAAATCTGAGGAAGGCAACCACAATTTAGTGCCAACATAAGATACATAAAATAATATGAGATATACGGGTGGATATTCATAAGGAAAATTGGTTTATGTTAACTTAGACAAATGTGCTGACAGTACGACCTTTTTCAATATTATGTGTATTTCCTTTCGAAGGGTGAGCTGGGGTTGGGCCGTCGTCGACTGCAGCCCAAGTGTCGCGGGTCCGAAGCTTTTGCGTGACCCGTCACAATAACGCTCACGAACGTAGGTAGATTTATACGTAGCTCACCACATAACTTTCCTATTATCATTATTTGTCCGACTGAATGCCACAAAACCCTGCATATATTTATAAATAGGACGAAACGACATATTTGGAATTCACTTTAAAAATTTTCAAGTAAATTGGAAGTTTCCATGCAAATTTTATCATAAAATATTCATTTTATATAAATGAGGTGGAATATTAAGTTTAGAGGACTAACACTTACTTACCTGGTGTTGACGAGACCGCCACTTTCACTTGTGCTTTTAAAAATTGTTTGAATTACCTATGGCCTAAGAGTTGTATTTGATCGACTCCAGTTTTGCAATCAATAAACTAGGAGAACCTTGTTGCAGGAGCTGCAAATGACAAAATGTACTGGTTAGTTGCAGAATTTGGAACAACTATCTTAACATTTATCAATGATTGCACCGACTATCTCAATCGAATGAAAAGTCTGTAAAGTTACCTTAGGCTTCCCGCTGGGATCAAAACTAATTTTTTACGTACTTCTTGCCATAGAAAGGCTGATAGCACCTAACTTCCCTTCTCATAAACAGTTTCTCATCGGTGTGGTCGATACTAAAAAACAAAAATACAAAAAGTGGAGTATATTGACTTCAGAAGAAATTTATAGTCCGTTTTGCTGACACCACACACCCAGATACTAACCACCTTTTTCATATATTTGGGGTAGTTAATATTTGAAATAAAATGTCCAATTCTATGAGTTCGGTTGCGTACTAAAATAAAACTGCAATCCTGAGATGGCCGCTGCCGGACGATGCGAGAAGGGAGTTCTCCAATTAACTTGTCTTTTATTGTGTTTTGCTTGAGCGATGATAGACTTTCACATGAATACTAATTACTGGCATTCCCTGTACTTTTCATCTTAATTCATGGTTACCGAAACTAAAGTAGAGCCTCGCCATTATGATGTTTTTTATGTACATGCAATTTATCATTTTACAAGTTGTTCTATCTCACTTGATCGTACGTACATGTATTTTAATGTGTTTTTGTACTAAATTGATTTATAGTTTCTATTTGTGTTTATGATGTTTGGTGTGTTTTGTTGTTATGAATTTGTTTAACTGCATTTGTTTCGATTACCTGATATTTATCGTACAGTTTGAGATGTTCTATTTGTGTATTTTCTCTTGCATTTTGTTGCCGTAGTTGATATATTTTTTCATGTGTTTCATTTTTTTGCCCCGAAGAAAGTTTCCCTGGTATCGCCTTATGTACCTAATATATTTATTTTTTCTTGTCTTTTCATATGGACAAAATTCTGCTCTGCTCAATGTTTCAGGTCCCAATGGATAACAGAAGCGATTACACAACGTAGGAGTTCATGTGTATCATCCATGTCGAACCGACTAAAATCGAGATTTAAAAGTACCGCGAAACGTCCGTCGTTTCGACTTGAAACGAGCATACAGAAAGATACGAAGGTGCTTTCTTTGGAGCGTAATGCTATATGTTTGTGAAGTATGGACTATAACAGTTTGTTTCGTTCCCTATGTTTCTTCCGTATGTATGGTTGGTTGCCTGTTAGAATACAGTACAGATTCAGTATTTAAATTTTAAAAACCAGTATTGTCCTTGTCCTTGTGATAAAATTCCTTTACCTTTTATCTTCTTTTCCGGTCACTTTTTGATTTGACAATCGTCTGTCCTGCATGGGTTTTATCAATACGCTTGAAAATTTGCATCCCTTAATTATTTAAGGATCTCCGAGTTTATTGGTGTTATATTTCAACTTTACTATCCATTGGAAACGTCTTGGTAGCTCTGTGGTAGTATTTTTGGATTTTCGCTTTGCGGTTCTGTAACCACATGGGGGTTGGCGTCTACTTTTAGCTCGATTACCACCTTAAGAGGTATGTTCTATTGCTTTTTACCTTCTCTTATATGTTCCTTACAGCTTTTTGTGTGGATTGTTGGTACGTCCAATGACGACATCCCGTACCTAAAAGTTAGGTGTATTTACGTCACGTTAGTCGTGAACGTACCCTCTTCCGTGTGTTTTCTCTCTCTCTACGACTGATATCTTGCCGACCAACGATACCTGGATCACCGGTTACATTCCGAGTCGACGTGCTATCCTGCAACTGTCCGTTTAGTGTAGCGGAGTAACCACTACAACCAGCAAAGGAAGTAGATGTCCGGTAGCCAGTCCTTACCTCCAGCTTGATCGTCCTCACGGGCAAGGTCAGACCGTCTCTGTGTGTGTGTCCTAGTGTTGTCCTACAATCTTAATTATAATGAGGTTACGTTCCTCTATTTATTTATAAAACAGTACTTACATTTGACCTATAATTTTGTGTACCCAACGACTCGTTAATTTATGTTATTATTGTAAATCTTTCCGGTTAACATAACCACTACTAGCACTGTCACTTTTTGTCGCTATATGTAAACAATACATCTGTCATACCTTGACACCCAACAAGTAAAAGTGTAAGGAGTACACCAAGGAGCACCCCAAAATTTCCTTGTTGTAGAATACCCGCTGTCAGGTGTGTTTTAGGGTACCCGTGTAAAGAAAAGGCCTTTTTATTTACCGCCAGGTCCCTGTGCGTCATTTACCTTTTTTTTGGTTTATTTATGAAATTGGTTTATATATATATTCAACATCACTTGGTTGCGACCCAAACAAAATTTCGCTGTACCGTCGTTCATTTCCCTAACCTTCTTCCTTCCTCTTTGCACTTAATTTTAATTTTAATGGCCGGATTATTCCATTTGTGAATACTAGGATTTATTTATGAATTATTAAAATTTACCCAAACGTAACTGTGGTACATTTATGGTCGTATTTACTTGTTTTGTTGCCTATCCTTCTGTATTCTCTTTCAGGATTTTCTGTGTTTAGTCCCTTTCCTTCCTTTTCCTTTAAAACACAGTGGCGCTTCTTGTCAATCTACCCCCGCGAATCCCTGAGCTGAGTGACCATCGCCTCCAGAGTAGAGCTAGACCGGAGCAATACCGGTTCTGGTTTGCGCCAAAACCAAACCGTTATAGGACAATAATGTAGTAGGACGAAAAAAGAATCGAAATGTGGATATTGTGAAATATTTTAAGGAACAATTGAAAATTCAGGGTGAGGAAGTACTAGAAAGAGTTGGAGAAAGAAGATCAATCGTGGATACTATTAACAAAAGAAGGAGAAATTATGTGGGTCATGTGTTGAGAAAGAACCGTTTGTTAACATGTATAGCCTGATGTATAGTGTTGTGTAAATTTTTAAATCTCAGGGATTTCATTGCAAATAAATACATATTTGGTTTATTTCTGTGAAATTTGTTATTTTAGTGGCTATTTTTCCATTTTAGAATTGTTTCTTATTGCTTAATTTCTTGTTTAAATTTTACATCTGGGGACTGCGCGACCAGAAAAAGAGCGTGTACGTTTATGTGTACTAATTTTGTCAAGTGATTGGCCTTTCTGGTTGTTGCATTTTAGTCATATTCGCAATAATCTGTGCAGAAGCAGTTAAGTTAAAGATCGTGTAAAGTTTAATGCGGTTTGTCCGCTAACGGAAGAAAGCTACGATGATTTTTGAAAAGCAGTTGTAGTGCTGAATAAAATCGTTTTAGAACGTTATTTAATTCAACAAAAGTTTAAAGTGTTTCCCGTCTAGCCATAAGCAAGAAGTTTCGTCGTTTCATTTAAAAAACCATTTCGAGTGATTGAATTGAGTGTAACAGTAAGAAATGGAATTTCCTGATGCTCTCAACCAGTGGTTTTGTGTTGGTGAATTGTTTGTTTATTTTTGTCAACCACCTGCGTGTGGGGTAAATGTAACGGACTTGTGCCTCTGTTTATTTCAGATTTTATATAATCACTCAACTAATTTTGTGTTTATTTGAATCCATTGCGCCGATCCAGATAAAGTTTTTCATTTCCAGATTCAAATTTGTCCCCAAGATTTATCTCGGATGTTAAACAAACTTTGTGTACTTGATTTCTTTGGAAGTTAGTTGAGGCTACTAAGTCTCCCAAATTATTAATTTTGAGTCATTATTAGGATTTTTGCTTTGTAGCGAATGACGGAGATGTACGACGAGAGATCATAAATATTATAAATTGGGCAGGTGTTTTGTGAGTGGTGTAGTTTCCCGCACGCCATTGCAGTAAGCAATAGATATGTTACCCTATTTGTCAGAACGTTTGTAAAACATATAAACAATCGATTTCCGGTGCGCTACATAGAACCACAGATTTAAATATACTACAGATGGATCATGAGATAGGCGATTGTGGAAACACAACAAACGTTCCAGTTGCTAGCGCACCTATATGAATTTTATTAAATCGAAAGTTTTAGTTTGCGTCTCAGCTTAAAATAATCAGCAGGAGTCTGTATAACGATGGCATAGAAGGTTTTTACTATTGATGGTGCTGAAAAGCAATATGATATGAATTTTTTCTTCGTAATTAAAACAATGGGTCTTTGTATTGTGTGTTTGTGTTCAATTACGACCTTGTGTGGGCGTATCTGTGGCCGTTCTCTCTCCTTTAATTTAAATTAATAAAATCCAAGAACAATTTCTTTCTATAGAAATAGAATGGTAGTTTCAGTTTCAGCCTGAAAATTAAAATTCTGTAATTAACTACTATCAATCGAAAGTTTTGATATGTCTATACGTTGATTCAAGGCATCGCCAAATGAAATTGAAACCAGGTGTAAAATTCTTGCAGAACAGCTTTTTATAACTACTCGAAAACTTCACTCGTTATCTGTTTGTTTATTTTAACTTAATTTTACTACCCGCGTGTCAGTAAGGGAGGTATTGCAGTGGGGTAAAAAATGACCCCTCCCTTTTTTTACGGGAATACATCAAATACATGTTTTGAGGCACCAGGAATCCGAATCAAACAAAATCTCGATGATGTATACAGGGTGATTTATATCAAAGTTGTATTTTTTAAATAGAACTCACCTATGTTATTGCATATTTCGATTACTTGGTCAATTTTAGTGTGACTTTATTTACACATGATATCTAAAATGAGTGGCTGAGCGTCATTTTTTCAAAAAATAGATGTTCAGTAAAAATTGAAAACGAAGTTTCTATAAAACTTAGAAGGCCATGACGCTGCAGCTTACCTACATACGCCGAACGGTCAAAGTTAAACTTTTTTTGTGCTAAAAGAAATCACTGTAAATTTTCAGAATTTCAATCAAAGATAACTTGATTTTTTAAATGAAACTACCAAGTTTTTTATTGCATCAAATGTAGGATTTGATTACCTTTCTAACGATATAAGCACGCCGTATTTACCTTTTATACATATTTTTGTAATTCAACCATTTCTAATAATACACAAGGTTTGTCGATTTTTAAAGCCTCTCAGTAATTAATAGGCCGTTAAAAGTTAAAACACCTATTCTAATTATAAAACAGGGAGTTATATTTACAAAAAGTGCAACTTTGATATAAATCGCCCTATATAACAATTGCAATTTCGTTGAAAATATTTTTAGGTTGTAGCCTGAAGAGTCCTTCAATATGCCCCGACAATGAATTTTAAATATTCTTTTCAAATCCTAAGTATTTTATTTAGTAACCGCGCCCTAAGCTGCTGTATTTCGGAAAATTTCATATACATATTTTTTTGTAATAAAACCAAATTTGTGTAGGTTAAACCAAGAAAAATGAACTCTTTCAAAAAACTAAATAAAAAATGTAGCCCTACTATGTATTTGAAAAAAAATGTTATTTGTAATAAAACCTAGCATAATTTGTGTAGGTTGTACACAGAAAAAGAAAGTCTTCCGAATAATTTAATAAAAATTTTGCGTTATTGCTATTTTAAAAAAATAGTATGACGTTTATATCCTTTATGCCTAATCTGCCAACGTATGTACGTACATAGGTACATACGAGTTAAAACAGACAGTACCTAAAAATTTGTATTCTTTAAAAGTTGCTTAAAATGATCTAAAACGTTGACGTTTGATGAAATTTTGATACGTCCAAAAACGGTAATCGCAATATAGCCACCCCGCACTTTTTGACAACCCGTACGGATTTACTACTATCTCAAAATATAAAGTACTTTCTTCACTATTTTGTTCCGCATTATCATGCAGCCTTAGAAATTCATGACTATACCAAGAACAGAATGGTTCCACGTACATATCGTGGAAATTGTAACGTCTACTGCGGTACTTCCCCAACATAGGGTCTGAACTGGGATGCGACATTTTCGATCTCACAGAAATTTGGTATGTGCGTCTCTTTAAGAGAAAAATAACGAATCCAAAATTGTTTTTGAAAATTCGAATTTTAACTGCAATTCTGGACCAGATATAGGCCTACGGTAGTTTTTAGCTCATTTTTGCAAAGTAGGATCGATATCAAAACTCTAATTGCATCTTCATTTGTTCTTAATAGAAGCTTTTCATATCACTTTGGCCGGCTGACTGGCTGGTTGGATGGCTGCCTCGCTGGCAGCAAATGAGGGCCTGTAGACAATCGCATGTAGAAAGACGAGGAGTGTACGTGTCCATACGGGGTCGTGTAATTAACAACTTTAGGGACGGGGCTACATGATGTGGGGACGGCGACATCCCATCCCCACGCGTGGTTTACTAACGTGGTAATTTTTAGTTTTTACTATCTTCTTCTACAGTTTTGGTCGAGGTCGAACCCATAATCGCACGTCAAGATACAATTTCACAAGTCGTACGACAAAACCGTATAATGTGAATCTTGAAATATTTGGTTATGGCAACTCGCAAGTCGCAAGAGAAATCGTAATCAAAATCACATAACGTAAATTGCACTTACCTATAAGAATCCCCCATTTACACGCTTCTAACTTGTATTTGAACTGACCAGTGACCCAGTGGCGGATTTACATACCTATAGGCACACTAGGCACGTGCCTAGGGGCGGCAGCTTTAGGGGGAGGCATTTTTTTTGCATTATATTTATTTTAGGTAACATTTTAAGTTTTAAAATAAGTCCGTTAACAAGTAACAAATGACAAAAATGTAATAAAATTATGAAATAAATTAGAATTGGTAGATAGTTTCTTTTCATATTAGTTTTAAAAATTTCATGTTATAATTTGAGTTTTATTTTAAAATGTATTGCAATTTAAAGATTATTTGGGGCGCATATCTTTTGGTGTGCCTAGGGGTGCAAAAAATTTAAATCCGCCACTGCGGTGACCACAAATTTTTTAAAAGTTTCGTCAATAAATTACCAGTGGAACGGAGAAGAGAAAATAACTTTTTGTCTCATAGGCACAGCCAAATTATCCCTTAGGCCTTAGAGCCTTGGGCGATTAATTTAACAGCCTCAATTGCAGATATGCTTTGTGCCTCGATCTTTAACAGGGCTGCGCGTATAGAAAAAGCAACCAAATTTCGGAGCTGAAATTTTCAAACAATTACCTACTTCAAAATATTCAGACATTGAGATGCTCAAAAACTACCTAGTGTTTTCACATAACAATATTTTGAAAACTCTTTCGAATGCAGACATCACTGCGAGGCACCTTGTTTTAATGTAACCCAACAGTTTTTGATACTTTCTATCAGCTAAGTCGCAGAACTCCTTGAGTATTTTTCAATGCGAACACTATAAATGTTAAAAAACTAAGTCAATTTTAACAATGGTGAACTCAAATCAACAATCCCTATAAGTTTTGTTTTTATTTCAGGGACGACCTACACTGCAAAGGCTTTGTTGACACCTTTTACTATTTTTGCCACCAAAATTACCTACAGTTACCGTTGTCTCCACAAAAACCCCACAACTTTTGATTTTAAATCATTT